CACTCAGCTTGAGCTAGGAGTCATTAATGGAGAAACGTCAGGAGGTTTTAATGGTAAAGAGGCAAGAGGCTGTTACTGTTGTACCTGGGCATATGGTGCACGAGATCTTGAAAATTACCATTGCGATTGGAGCGCTTTTTTACGCAGCTTCTTTGTTGAAACATTTTCTTAGATTATAAATTAGATCTTATATCAAGATAACCCTGTTCGGCGACAGAACATACGCAGATAGCCTTTGAACTGTCATAAATGTTAACCCGACCTACTACTTTGTTTATACTTTGCAAACCTAATCCAAAACTGCTTGAGTTACTGAGCCTTTACTATGTGAGACAAAAAACTGTCAAAGTTTATTGTTCAAAGAATTGATAATATGGAAATTAGCACTCAGAATACAAAGCACTGAGTATCAACGAACTACAAATTTTGCCTTCACTTGCCATTTAAGTAATTTAGATCGTTAGCGATAGCCGCTTGGGGATGTCTAGCGGCAACTGGCGAATTACGTCATTTGAAAAATTTCTGCTGCAGAAATAAATTATCCAATATTGTTCAATCGATGGTTGTCTCTACTACGACTAATGATCCTCGAAGCGCAACGGAAAAGTATTTCAAGCAAATCAATTCTGCTTGGGGACCTATACGCGAATGTTAGCGGTATATATGCATGCCTATAGGCATTTTATATTATTGTATTTATGTGTGATAATGGATAAATCATGAATGTTGTAGCAGCGCTTGCTTTTTGTATCTAAAATGTGTTATCACGCTATAAACTGCAGCTGCGCAATCGTTACTATATCTGACTAAAATAGGATAATTGTAGTATCCATACAATGTAAAGCATACTGCATAATTGGTTTCGCTACTTCAGTGAACTTGGAATAAAAAAATCATATAATTAAGTACGTCAAGATTCAAAAATTGACTCAACAAAGCGTATTATACCAAGACATCACTCTTCAAGTGTACCTAGAAAAGATGAACCCGAAAAAAAACAAATAATTG